TAGAGACCCACAGAGATACATAGAGACCCACAGAGATACGTAGAGACCCACAGCGATACATAGAAACCCACAGAGATACACAGAGACCCACAGAGATACACAGAGACCCACAGAGATACATAGAGACCCACAGAGATACATAGAGACCCACAGTTCCATTTTTCCATTTCCATTTATTTGGTATAGCCCTGTGAGCCATTCGGATCTTGAATCGGGTGCAACCGCAACAAACAAAACATAGAAATATGAACAAGAAAACATCTTAAAGTGATTATGTGACTGTGCAAACAGAAAATCCTGGAAAAAAAACATCAAAAATATTCCTGAAATTGCACCGTACACCAACGCTGTGTGCAAAAATCCCAGTGGGATGCAAGTCAAATAACAACAACAACCACAAGACAACTAAGATTAAGGCCATCAGTCTAACTCCGTACTACAATAAACAAAAACATGGCCAAACCAAAAAAACGTTTTCGAAATCACCAAAATAAAAGCCATAAATGCAATGTAACAGTGATCATAGGGACTGTGACCGAATTTTTAACAATAAACTACATAAATAAATTATAACACCAAACCCTAGAGCCATATTTTAGGCCACTGAATAGCAGTGGCAGCTAGGGGTGTACAACTCCTCTAGAGCAGTTTTTAGTGAAGATCTCATAGGTTGTGATTCAAGTTGCAGTTTATTGGCAATAGCATTCCAGACCCTGGGGGGGCATCAATAGCAAAGGCCCTTCCTCCGGTTTTTGTACGGCAATAAGGAATGTGAAGCTGGTAAATGAGCGAAGACCTGAGGTCAAATTTGTTCTTTGAAACAGAGAGGAGATCCAGTTAGTAGTCTGCGGATTTCTTTGTAAGTACATCGTGAATAAATAAGATCTGGTGCCCAAGCCGTCGAACATTAAGATATGTTAAGTTTGACCCAATGTAGAGATCACAGTGGTGAGTCCTATATGGGCAGTTCAATGCAAATCTTAAGGCCGAGTGATAGATGGAATCAAGCTTCTTTAGTACAGTACTTGGGGCTGATTTATACACGATGTCACAGTAGTCAAGTAGAGGCAGTATGGTAGCTTTTATCAATTCCAAACGGAACATTGGGGGGAAGCAGTGCTTGTGTCGATACAGAAAACCAATTTTGATTTTTGTCCTTTTACCAATATAATCAATGTGATCTTCAAAATTCAGTTTTTAATCCAGGATGACCCCAAGATACTTATAGATCTTGACTTGCTCTATTTGATAATTATTCAAGGAATGTAATTGGAGAAAAATAACTTCCTGCTTTAGTCTCGGTGAGAAGCATAGCACCTTGGTTTTGGACGTATTCAGGACTAGTTTAAGATAAACTAGCTGATGTTGTAGTTTGTTGAAATCACCCTGGAGCTTAGCAATCACGTCATCCGGAGAGCGGCCAGCAGTAATCAGTATCGTGTCATCTGCAAAAAGATTTACCCTGGAATGATCCAGGTCAGTGCCCAAGTCATTGACATGAAGAGAGAACAAGAGGGGGCCGAGGATGGAACCCTGTGGAACCCCACAGAGATACATAGAGACCCACAGAGATACATAGAGACCCACAGAGACACATAGAGACCCACAGAGATACGTAGAGACCCACAGAGATACATAGAGACCCACAGAGATACACAGAGACCCAAAGAGATACATAGAGACCCACAGAGATACATAGAGACCCACAGAGATACATAGAGACCCACAGAAATATATAGAGACCCAGAGAGATACGTAGAGACCCACAGAGATACATAGAGACCCACAGAGATACATAGAGACCCACAGAGATACATAGAGACCCACAGAGATACACAGAGACCCACAGAGATACCTAGAGACCCACAGAGATACGTAAAGACCCACAGATATACATAGAGCCCCACAGAGATACATAGAGACCCACAGAGATACATAGAGACCCACAGCGATACATAGAGACCCACAGAGATACATAGAGACCCCGAGAGATACGTAGAGACCCACAGCGATACGTAGAGACCCACAGAGATACATAGAGACCCACAGAGATACATAGAGACCCACAGATATACATAGAGACCCACAGAGACCCACAGAGATACATAGAGACCCACAGAGACCCACAGAGATACAGTGAGGGAAAAAAGTATTTGATCCCCTGCTGATTTTGTACGTTTGCCCACTGAAAAATAAATGATCAGTCTATAATTTTAATGTTAGGTTTATTTGAACAGTGAGAGACAGAATAACAACAAAAAAATCCAGAAAAACGCATGTCAAAAATGTTATAAATTGATTTGCATTTAAATGAGGGAAATAAGCATTGGACCCCTCTGCAAAACATGACTTAGTACTTGGTGGTAAAACCCTTGTTGGCAATCACAGAGGTCAGACGTTTGCACACATCTCAGGAGGGATTTTGTCCCACTCCTCTTTGCAGATCTTCTCCAAGTCATTAAGGTTTCGAGGCTGACGTTTGGCAACTCGAACCTTCAGCTCCCTCCACAGATTTTCTATGGGATTAAGGTCTGGAGACTGGCTAGGCCACTCCAGGACCTTAATGTGCTTCTTCTTGAACCACTCCTTTGTTGCCTTGGCCGTGTGTTTTGGGTCATTGTCATGCTGGAATATCCATCCACGACCCATTTTCAATGCCCTGGCTGAGGGAAGGAGGTTCTCACCCAAGATTTGACGGTACATGGCCCCGTCCATCGTTCCTTTGATGCGGTGAAGTTGTCCTGTCCCCTTAGCAGAAAAACACCCCCAAAGCATAATGTTTCCACCTCCATGTTTGACGGTGGGGATGGTGTTCTTGGGGTCATAGGCAGCATTCCTCCTCCTCCAAACACGGCGAGTTGAGTTGATGCCAAAGAGCTCCATTTTGGTCTCATCTGACCACAGCACTTTCACCCAGTTGTCCTCTGAATCATTCAGATGTTCATTGGCAAACTTCAGACGGGCATGTATATGTGCTTTCTTGAGCAGGGTGACCTTGCGGGCGCTGCAGGATTTCAGTCCTTCACGGCGTAGTGCGTTACCAATTGTTTTCTTGGTGACTATGGTCCCAGCTGCCTTGAGATCATTGACAAGATCCTCCCGTGTAGTTCTGGGCTGATTCCTTACCGTTCTCATGATCATTGCAACTCCACGAGGTGAGATCTTGCATGGAGCCCCAGGCCAAGGGAGATTGACAGTTCTTTTGTGTTTCTTCCATTTGCGAATAATCGCACCAACTGTTGTCACCTTCTCACCAAGCTGGTTGGCAATGGTCTTGTAGCCCATTCCAGCTTTGTGTAGGTGTACAATCTTGTCCGTGACATCCTTGGAGAGCTCTTTGGTCTTGGCCATGGTGGAGAGTTTGGAATCTGATTGTTTGATTGCTTCTGTGGACAGGTGTCTTTTATACAGGTAACAAGCTGAGATTAGGAGCACTCCCTTTAAGAGTGTGCTCCTAATCTCAGCTTGTCACCTGTATAAAAGATACCTGGGAGCCAGAAATCTTTCTGATTGAAAGGGGGTCAAATACTTATTTCCCTAATTAAAATGCCAATCAATTTATAACATTTTTGACATGCGTTTTTCTGGATTTTGTTGTTGTTATTTTGTCTCTCACTGTTCAAATAAACCTACCATTCAAATTATAGACTGATCATTTCTTTGTCAGTGGGCAAACGTACAAAATCAGCAGGGGATCACATACTTTTTTCCCTCACTGTACATATGTAGTGTGATCTATGGAGGCACGCACTGTACTGGGAGGCAACACTTTTATTCCATAACCCCAACAGGGTAACTGTGTAACTATCACTGGTTAACTGAGCCACAACCGGTAGACTATACTGAGCCACTACGGGTAGACTATACTGAACCACAACGGGTGGACTATACTGAACCACAACGGGTAGACTATACTGAACCACCACGGGTAGACTATACTGAACCACCATGGGTAGACTATACTGAGCCACAACGGGTAGACTATACTGAACCACCACGGGTAGACTATACTGAACCACCACGGGTAGACTATACTGAGCCACAACGGGTAGACTATACTGAACCACATTGGGTAGACTATACTGAGCCACAACGGGTAGACTATACTGAACCACAACGGGTAGACTATACTGAACCACTACGGGTAGACTATACTGAACCACAACAGGTAGACTATACTGAACCACTACGGGTAGACTATACTGAACCACTACGGGTAGACTATACTGAACCACAACGGGTAGACTATACTGAACCACTACGGGTAGACTATACTGAACCACTACGGGTAGACTATACTGAACCACTACGGGTAGACTATACTGAAGCACTACGGGTAGACTATACTGAACCACAACGGGTAGACTATACTGAGCCACAAAGGGTAGACTATACTGAACCACCACGGGTAGACTATACTGAGCCACAACGGGTCAACAACAAAACCGGGTCAGTCAGCGACCCTGCCTGACCCACGATACCGAGCTCAAGACCGAAACGACGACCGAAAACCGACGACCGACGAGTTGATTCCACAATACAGCCGCGATTGTTCTCCGACCATCCCTCTTATCCTCTCGAGCGTGGCCTCGCAACAACAATTGTCACAACAACAACAACCACCATCGCAGGAATAGCTCCGACCGCACTCGCAACCACCAACCGATGCTAAAGGTCGAAGCTACGACGACAGCCTAACCACAGCGACAAGCAACCACAACCACCACAGCAGCCAACAACAACAACGACATATCACCATAGCAACGGTGACTACAGCCACAGAAGCAGCAGCGAGCGCAGCCTCTGCTGAGTCGTTGGGTGGCCTGAACGACGAATCCGGCCACACGTTCGGCTCTACCGAGCTGGTGGTCTCGACAAGGCTGACGGCTTTTGTTACATGCACTGCGCTGGTGCGTGTTGTTGAATTCAACAGCTGCCACAATCACGCCCCAACCACGGTCCACCACAACCACAACCGCAACATTAACCCCCTGCGGCGGTCACCGCGACCTCCGTCGCGGGGACCGCGCCGTCCGCGACGACTCCCACGCCGCGCGTGGAGCCGGCGGGCCGGAGCCTGCGGGGCCTCGCGGCTCGCGCCGCCTCCGTCGAGCGGCGGCGACGAGGCTCTGCGGTGCGGCCCGAACCGCCGTCGTCGCTACGGCGTGCCACCGGGCCGCGCGGACTCTGGAACTCCGCCCCGCCACCGCCGCCGAGTTCGCGCCGCCGACGCCGCTACGGTGCCTGCGCCATGCGCGCCATCTCCGCGTGGAGCGCGGCGACGCAGGCGGCGGCGGAGGAACCTGGGGCCGGGACCGGCACGGCCGTCGGCGGCGGCGGTGCCGGCGGCGGTGCCGGCGGCGGCGACGGAGGCGGCGGCGGCGGCGGAGCGGCGTGCACGCGCCGGTTGCACGCGCGCGGGAAGGCCGCGCGGAAGAGCTTGCGGAAGGAGCCGCCCATGAAGGCGTAGACGATTGGGTTGAGCGCCGAGTTGGCGTACGACATGCAGTGCGCCCAGATTTTCAGCTTGTAGGTGCCGTAGCTGTGCGAGAACGCCGGCGCCAAGGCCTGCAGGGGGGAACCCAGAGAGCCGCGGGGGGTTAAACTTCTGGGTCGGGCGTCTCGAGCGACGCGCGCCACGTCGCCGTCGCGATCTTTAGTCACGCCCGGGGGAATCCGACGAGCTGTAAAGCTCTTGTTCACCGGTGTCCGGTCAGGGGGCGGGTCGGAGAGGTACAACAACTGAGAAAGCTCCGATGACAGGCGCCCTGAATGTGATGACTACTGCTCTGTGTGTGTGTGTGTGTGGATCGGAGGTCACCATGAACAATGGAGCTCTCTCAGATGGAGCTCTGCGAGAGATCCGCTTCCGTGGGTCGTTATCGAACGAAACGTGGAGAGACCTCCGAAGGGGAAGTCTTCATCACGTGATGACGCCGACAGCAGCGGGGTCGCGGGTAAAATACAATGGGGGGGGGTGGGGGTGTGGGTGGGTGGGTGAGGTTGTGGGTGGCTGTGTGAGGGTTTCGGTGGGTAAGGGTGCGGGTGGGTGGGTGGCGGTGTGTGTGGGTGGTTGGGGGAGTGTGTGTGAATGAGAGGTGGACAGTCCTCTACTCGGGGCAGGAGACTACCAAACAACAGGGAATGGCTCTGAACAAAATAATGAAGGGGGCGTGGGAGCGTGGCGGTGAGGTGTGGGAATCTGGAAGCCCCAGGCTACTTTGGGCTCGCCTTCCCATCAACCGGAGGCGAGGAGTGGTGGTCGTAGTTACTTATGCCCCCACCGAAGACGAACATCCGTGTAGGGATGCAGGCAAAGCCGATGAGTCAGATGCCTTCTATGACCTCCTGTCACAGGTGCGAGCTAAAGTGGCCCCTCGGGATGGAGTCATCCTGTTGGGCGACTTCAATGCCCGAGTTGGTCATGATGCTGGCACCTGGTCTGGAGTGATTGGAAGGCATGGGCCAGATCAGCTCAATAACAACGGTAGGAGGCTGCTAGATTTTTGTGCAGCCCATGGGCTTGTAATTACCAATACGCTGTTCCGGCATCGGCGTATCCACACAACATCATGGATGCATGTCGGGTCCAAGCAAGAACATCTGCTGGTCTACGTAGTGATGGAACAGTGGATACGGGCCCATGTCCTTGACACCAAGACCTACCGTGGAGCTGATCTGCCCACTGACCATCAACTTGTCATCTGTAAGATGCGTCTGCCATTGTTCCACTCCGGTGGTGGGTGTACACCCAGGATCCAATTCAAACCCAGGGTGGCCTGGTCTCAGCTAGCTGATGAAAGTTGCAAGCGAGAATTTAATCATCGCTTGCAGCTGGGGTTCGCATCGTCCCCCACTCCTCCAGATGTCGAGGGGAAATGGGCGAGGTTTAGGACTGTGGCTCATGTAGCTGCAATGGCTGCTTTGGGTACACGGTCCAGACCTCTCCAAAGACCTTTGCTGACAGAGGAAGTGTTCAGGCTGGCTGAGAAAAAGCGACAGGTCTACTCTCATCGTCTACAGCATCCCATGTCAAAGAATGAGGAGGCTTACCGCAGCCTTCGCTCGGAGGTTCGGAGAGCCGTGAGGCGCTGCAAGGATGGGTGGTGGTCGCGGGTTGCTGAGGAGATGGAGTCTGCCTCAATGGCCCGCGATCATAAATCCCTATTTAACTCCATCAAAAAAGTGGCCTGAAGGGCCACACCTATTACCATCATGAGGGGGGAAAATGGTGATCCAATCTCCGACCCCCAGGAACAGGTTTGCAGATTTGCTGAGCATATCTGTGAAGTCCTGGGGGATGGGAAATCCCTCGGCATGGAAAACATCATGGGATAAAGTGGGGATGACCCTGCTGAGGCTGCGGTGTCTCAAATATTGGAAGAAGTCACCTCCTGTGAGTGGCTGACTGAGGTGCCATCTGTTGAGGACGTACTAAAGGCGATCCAGAGTCTGAGACCAGGAAAGGCACCGGGCAGAGATGATCTTCCAAGCGAAATGCTGAGGGAGGGTGGCGTTTGTGCACAGACTGCCCTACATTACATCATAACAAGTCTGGACCACTGGACGGGTTCCACAGGATTGGAAGGATGCCCTGGTGGTCCCCCTCTTTATGAAGGGGGACCGCACAGACTGTAACAACTACAGGGGCATCTCACTCCTCAGTGTGCCGGGAAAGGTCCCAGCAAGGATTATTCAATGTCGCCTTGCTAGGCACGCTGAGGAGACGCTTGCGGAGCCCCAATGCGGTTTTAGGAAAGAGCGGTCCTGCACAGATGCCATATTTTACGTCCGTCTTCTACAGCAGAGGTGTAGGGAATTCCAACAAGACCTACATCTCTGCTTTATTGACCTGGTCAAGGCCTATGATACCATCAGTAGGCCTAAGCTCTGGGTTATTCTTCATGCTTTCGGAGTCCCTGACCCTCTGATCACGATCATTAAGGACCTTCATGATGGTGAGCGGGCCCGGGTAAAACTATGTGGCCGGGAGTCGGAGCCATTCCCTGTTCACCTTGGGGTGCGACAGGGATGTTCTCTGGCTCCCACATTATTTAACATCTATTTTGACCACGTAGTTCGTGAAGCCTTTAATAGCTGTACCAAAGGAATTTCCATCTGGTACAGATACAATGGGAGGCTGATTGATGCCCGGGTGCGGTCAAGGGATGGCTCCCTATTGCTCAACCATGTTATATATGCCGATGATTTGGTAATTGCTGCTCACTCAGAGGAGGAGTTGGAGGCGCTGCTGCTGAACCTGGAACTTGCCACTAAGAGGTGGGGCCTTACCATCAGCCCCACCAAAACGAAGCACCTGCCTGGGTATTTTGTACTATCGGACACTCCATCCCCACAACTCCAGTACAACGAAATTTAAAGTGCTCACCAGTCAGTACATCATTCATAAATTTAAATAAATAAAACAAGAAATAAAAATAAAATAAAAGATAATCAATAAATTTTATATATAAAAACTGCCCAAGCATATCCACATACCCACATAAAACGGGAGCTGTGTAGTTCCTCCAGTGTGGGGAGAGAGCAGCCGGCGATTTTTTGGGCCGTGTTGATGACCCTCTGCAGCGCTTTCCTCTGAGCCACTGTGCAGCTGGTGCACCATACACAGATGCAGTATGTAAGAATGCTCTCGATGGAGGCTCGGTAGAAGGACACCAGCAGTTTCTGTGTGATGTTATTCTTCCTGAGTATTCTCAGGAAGAATGGGCCTTTTTCAGTAGCTCAGAAGTGTTGGCGCTCCAGGTCAGGCCCACCCCAATGTGGACTCCCAGGAAGCGGAAGTCTGCCACCCTCTCCACACAGTCCCCGTTGATGGTTAGTGGTGGAGTGTCCGTTTTCTTTCTCCTGCAGTCTATTATGAGCTCCTTGGTCTTTGCGGTGTTAAGGAGCAGGTTGTTGCCCCTGCACCATGCTGTCAGCCGCTCCACCTCGTCCCTGTAGGCAAACTCATCTCCCCCAGAGATGAGCCCCACCACTGTGGTGTCATCAGCAAACTTCACGATGGTGTTGCTATGGTGGACGGGGGCACAGTCATGTGTGTAGAGGGAGTAGAGCAGGGGGCTCAGTACACAGCCCTGGGGGGAGCCAGTACTGAGGCTCAGGGCTGTGGATGTATGACGGCCCACTCTGACCCTCTGTCTGCGGCCCGAGAGGAAGCTATGTATCCACATGCAGGTGGAATGTGGAAGCCCCAGGTCGCCCAGTTTTACCACCAGTTTGTGTGGCAGGATGGTGTTGAACGCAGAACTGTAATCCACGAAGAGCATCCGCACATAGCTCCCCTGCTGCTCCAGGTGTGACAGTGCAGCATGTAGTGCTGTGGCCACGGCGTCCTCCGTGGATCGGTTCGCTCTGTAGGCAAACTGGTGGGGGTCAAGGCTTCGGGGGAAATGTTGCAATGATGCGACTCCGGACCAGTTTTTCAAAGCACTTCATCACCACTGGCGTCAGTGCTACTGGCCGATAGTCGTTGAGGCTGGAAATGTGGGGTTTTTTCGGCAGGGGGACAATGGTGGAGGACTTTAGGCAGGGTGGTACCGTGGACTGTTCCAGAGACAGGTTGAAAATCCTTGTGAAGACTCCAGCCAGCTCGTCAGCACAGTCCCTCGGCACACGTCCCGGGACGCCGTCAGGTCCCGCAGCCTCCCTCAGGTTGACGGCCCGCAGGGTGTGCCTCACCTCATGCTCCTCTACTGTGAGGTTCAAGCTGCTGTGGACCGTGGGGTTTGGTTATGCTGTCCCTGGTGGTGTCACCTCAAAGCGGGCAAAGAAGAGGTTCAACTCCTCTGCCAGAGCGGTGTCACCATCAGCAGCTCCGAGGTTGGCCCCGTAGTTGGTGAGGTGCTGGACTCCCTGCCACACCTGCCTGCTGTCGTTACCGTCCAGGCGTTCCTCAATCCTCCTCCTGTAGTCTGCTTTGGCCTCATGGATGCCTCTCTTCAGGTTAGCTCGGGCTGTGTCTGTAGAGAGCTTTGTCTCTCGATTTGAAGGCGATGTTCCTCTCCTTCAGCCGCTGCTGGACCTCCCGGGTCATCCAGGGCTTCTGGTTGGGGTAGACCCGAATGCGTTTGACCACAGTGACAGTGTCTATGCAGTTTTTAATGTAGCACAATACACTATCTGTGAACACCTCCAGGTCCTGATGTTCGAAGACCCCCCCAGTTGGTCCTATCAAAGCAGTCCTGCAGCTGCTGGGTGGCACCCTCAGGCCAGGTGGCGACAGTTTTTGTGATGGTAGGAGCCGTTTTCTTGATGGGGGCGTATGCAGGGATCAAAAGCAGGGACAAATGGTCAGACTGGCCCAGGTGTGGTAGTGGTCTAGCCCTGTAACCTAGTTTGATGTTGGTGTAGACCTTGTCCAGAGTCTTAGTTCCCCTAGTAGCACACTTAACATGCTGCTGGAATTTAGGGAGTGCTCGCTTTAAATCTGCATGGTTGAAATCCCCTGCTATAATCTGCACAGCGTTAGGATACTTGCTCTGCTGAATGCTAATGCTGCCATGTAAAAGTCCAATAGCTGAGTTAGCATTAGCATCCGGTGGGATGTAAACAGCAGTTATCATGACCACAGTAAACTCTCTTGGGAGGTAAATGGGCCTGCATTTAACAGTCACATACTCCAGATCTGGGGCGCATTGGCTGTCCGCAGTCACTGTGTTAGTACACCAGCTGTTATTCATGTACACACAGAGCCCCCCTCCTCTGCTCTTACCGGAGTCTACTGTTCTGTCATGGCGCTGTGCTGTGTAGCCTGATAGCTCAATAGCAGATTCCGGGATGGATGAATGAAGCCAGGTTTCTGTGAAAAGCAGAATGCAACTGTCCTTCACTGTAGCATCGGTTCATCCATTTTGTTCGTGAGGGATCTGGCATTCGTGAGAAATAGGCTGGGTAGCGGTGGTTTGAGTGGCTGCCTCCATAACCTGGCTAGCGCACCGGCCCTGCAGCCTCGCTTCTGCCTTCTCTCTCTATGCTGCCTTCACCTCCTCCCTGCCGGGATAATCCACGGAGAGCTCCTTGCCAACGCCACCGGAATCTTGTGAAGACGGAGAAACTCGCTTGTAACACTCCGTTCGTAACATAGTCCGATCTTAAGGAGAATGTGCCAGCTAAAGGTGTTACTCGCCCGACAAAATGTACTCAAAACAAGACGTAATGCATACATAAACAACCATACAAGCCACCGACCGGGTAGACACTGAGCTGCAGAGGTCTCGCTCCAAATCATCGGTTGCGTAACGCTGTGTGGAAGCTACCTGGTCTGTTGCTCCGCACTAAGCTTCAGGTCTGCTTGGCCACGGTCATTCCCTCCCTTCTCTACGCTTGCGAAACGTGTACCCCCCTAATGGAACATCTTCGCCAGTTAGAAACATTTAGGATGGCCTGCCTACGATCCATCCTGGGTTTAACCAGGCTGGATTGTGAAAGATCTGGACAAAGTTCCAACAGTGAGCTCCTCTGGCAGGCAAGGCTGCGTTGGTTGGGTCATGTAGCCCGCATGCCTAGTCACCGCATGCCTAAACAGCTTTTGTTCGGCTGGATAGAGGGGGTTAAACGGGCGCGGCACGGGCTAGAGAAGAGATGGAGTGATGTGGTACAGGAGGACGTGGAGCTGAGTGGACTTGCCGATGACTGGTACCAGCGGTGTCAAGATCGGCCTCTGTGGAGGAGGCTCGTGAAGGACGCTGCTATTGGGCAGTTGGAGGCAGTCGCCCTCCAACAACAACGGAGGGCGGAGGAGCGACGCTCACAACAACGAGCGGAGCGCCGGGTGGCTAAAGCACAGCAGGTTGGCACAGTAGGGGGCACAGGTGGTGCATCAGCCAGTCATCTCAGTCAGTCGACCCGTGGCATCTGGGGTGTGCACCGTAACCTCCTGCCAGCGGGCGTTCGACACTCCGCGTGGCCTCAACGAGCCTGGCACAAGCGTCGTGGTGACGTCACCGCCACTTAGTGGCGAATGGCGGTTGTTGTTGTTGTTTTTGTGTGTGTGGGTGGCTGGGTGGCTGGGTCACGGGAGGGAGTGCGCCACCTGGTAGAGGATGAGGATCTGGATGGGGCCCCAGCAGACGGCGAACAGCACCACGACGGCAACCACCATGCGGGACACGGCGGCGTGCACCACCCGTGAACGTTCCGACACCAGCTGCTCCTGGCGTGCACGGACCCAGCGGGCGACGAGGGGGGCGGTACAACCGTGGTCAGGGCGCGACCCCCAACCCACCCCACTCCACATCCCTCTGCCCCCCTCCCACCCCCCGGGGTGACGGTTTTGCCGAGGTCTCACACAGAAGGTGGGGGGGGGGGGCGGCACATATATGTCTGTGGAACTTCCTTCGCAACCGTACGTGGCCAACCGCGTCAATCGGAGATGCGGAGGGAAGGTCAACAATCTGACCGCAAAAGGCGGCTGTGGAGGAATGCGTTTTCTGAGTCGCACCACCACCGTGGCCCCGTCCCGTCCCCTCTCCCACCTGGTGGTTGTTGTCGACGGGCTGCACGACGGGGCGGCCAATGCGGTTGAGCATGAATCCGTAGCTGAGGCAGATGGTGAGCAGGGGCAGCAGGTAGGTGAGGGCGAAGGTGTAGAGGAGGAAGGCAACGCGGCGGCCCTCCGACAGGAAGCTCTCCACGCAGTAGGTCCGAGGGCCGTACCAGAAGCCCTCCTCCACCCGGTGGTGCAGGGCCACGGGAAGCGAGGCCACGAACGACCCTGCGGGGGCGGGGTGGGGGAAGGGAGACACGGGGAGGGAGACAGGGTGACACGGAGGGTGACACGGAGGGTGACGAAGAGGGATACAGAGAGACAGAAAGGGTGACACGGAGGGTGACAAAGAGGGATACAGAGAGACAGAAAGGGTGACAGGGATACAGGGAGGGAGACACGGAGGGAGACACGGGGAGGGAGACAGGGTGACACGGAGGGTGACACGGACGGTGACAAGGAGGGATACAGAGAGACAGAGAGGGAGACACGGAGGGAGACAGGGAGGGAGACAAGGAGGGAGACACGGAGGGTGACAAGGAGGGATACAGAGAGACAGAGAGGGAGACACGGAGGGAGACAAGGAGGGATACAGAGAGACAGAGAGGGAGACACGGAGGGAGACAGGGAGGGATACAGAGAGACAGAGAGGGAGACACGGAGTGAGACAGGGAGGGTGACAAGGAGGGATACCGAGAGACAGAGAGGGAGACACAGAGGGAGACACGGAGGGAGACACGGAGGGTGACAAGGAGGGATACAGAGAGACAGAGAGGGAGACACGGAGGGAGACAGGGAGGGATACAGAGAGACAGAAAGGGTGACACGGAGGGTGACAAGGAGGGATACAGAGAGACAGAAAGGGTGACACGGAGGGAGACAGGGAGGGATCAGATAGCGTTAAGTACAACGGTTGCTTGTGTTGCGATCGAAACGCCGTAGCTTTGTTTGTTTGTTATTTTTGTTCTTTTCTTTCATCCTGTCCACGTGACTTTACCGAAAGACCCAAGAATACGTACGACGCATTTATATTTACGCGATCTTACCCCAGAAACAACAACCTTCATCCTTCACTATGGATTCTATTGGTGGCCCTTCGTCTTCCACTGGCAGCGCCGAGTGGTTGCGAGCGACCGCCATCCCACCTGGCCACGACAACGCGACCCCATCAGCACGTTCCGTGTCAATACCACTGCGCGTCACCTCGAGAAGTAATTACATATGTAAGAGGCGACGTTTCAGGCAACGGCCCTTTTGTCATCGCACGTTTCTCTACGTATCGAGATTGCTAATCCGAGCTATTTGAAAATGCGGCAGGAGACCGGAGCTTGCCCCGACAGCACGTGGCGGCAATCCGGGAAAAGCTTTGTCTTTAACAGTAGCTGCTCTCATCCTCTCCCAAGAGCCGTGGGTGACCTTGAGCATCGTGAAACGTGGGCACGTGGGCGCACCTCCACCCACGTGGGTGCACCTCCACCCACGTGGGTGCACCTCCACCCACGTGGAGTGTTCCGTGGGCTGGACTCAAGGCCATTGATGAATATATTTTTTGTTGTTGTATATTTAGCGGTCAATCCATACCGTTTAGCCGTATTTTTGTACAGGGAAATTAAAATTCCAGGTCCATAGGGCATACAGCCGTCTCAATACGGGCAAAGAAAAGTTTTTTTTGTCTATTTGTTTGTGTTTTTCCCTTGTGATGTGACTTTGTAGGATGAACTTTGAGATTTAGAAGGGCACGGGGTGACCATTGAGGCCTGAATTGGTCTGTAACAAGTTGGGCACTGATACGCGGTTGACAGGTGTGTAGTGGTGAGTCTACCAATGGTGAGTGTAGTGGTGGTGAGTGTACTAGTGGTGTCTATGGGTTTGTGTTTCTCCCTTGTGATGGGACTTTGTAGGATGAACGTTGAGATTTAGAAGGGCACGGGGGTGACCAATGAGGTCTGAATTGGTCACTGTATGGTGCCAGCCCAGGCCGTGCCCTTCGATGTTCCTACATCGTGGACAGCACCGTGTGGGTGGCTGTGTGTAACACCAGCCCTAGCAGGGCTTGGCGAGCACTGGGCTAGTGCGGGCACCACGCACATCGTGCGGTGGTGGCTCCCACGAGGGGGAGTGGGTGAGCGTCAGCCCAGGGGCAGGGTTGCCCCAGGCCATGGCACTCTGGTTGACCCCCAGGTGGGGGGGCTAGTGGGTGGTCACCGGGGAGAGCTCTTGAGAAGGATCGAGAGGGAACGAGAATGCTCGAGAAAGCTCCGCCCTCGGCCCCGCCCGGAGAGGGATAAAAGGCGGGTCCCTGAGAAGGACTGGGGCCGCTGCATTCTACAAGCTGGAAGCTCAACATCTTCAAGTTGGAAGCTATACGTCTACAAGCTGGAAGCTCCACGTCTACAGGCTGGAAGCTCAACATCTACAAGCTGGAAGCTCAACATCTACAAGTTGGAAGCTCCACATCTACAAGCTGGAAGCTCAACATCTACAAGCTGGAAGCTCAACACCTACAAGCTGGAAGCTCAACATCTACAAGCGGGAAGCTCAACATCTACAAGCTGGAAGCTCTACGTCTACAAGCTGGAAGCTCAACGTCTACAAGCTGGAAGCTCAACACCTACAAGCTGGAAGGTCAACATCTACAAGCTGGAAGCTCAACACCTACAAGCTGGAAGGTCAACATCTACAAGCTGGAAGCTCAACACCTACAAGCTGGAAGCTCAACACCTACAAACTGGAAGCTCAACAACTACAAGCTGGAAGCTCAACACCTACAAGCTGGAAGCTCAACACCTACAAGCTGGAAGCTCTACGTCTACAAGCTGGAAGCTCAACACCTACAAGCTGGAAGCTCTACGTCTACAAGCTGGAAGCTCAACATCTACCAGCTGGAAGCTCTACGTCTACAAGCTGGAAGCTCAACACCTACAAGCTGGAAGCTCCACGTCATACAAGCTGGAAGCTCAACATCTACAAGCTGGAAGCTCAACATCTACAAGCTGGAAACTCAACACCTACAAGCTGGAAGCTCAACATCTACAAGCTGGAAACTCAACACCTACAAGCTGGAAGCTCAACACCTACAAGCTGGAAGCTCAACACCTACAAGCTGGAAGCTCAACAACTACAAGCTGGAAGCTCAACACCTACAAGCGGGAAGCTCAACATCTACAAGCTGGAAGCTCTACGTCCTACAAGCGGGAAGCTCAACACCTACAAGCTGGAAGCTCTACGTCTACAAGCTGGAAGCTCAACGTCTACAAGCGGGAAGCTCAACATCTACAAGCTGGAAGCTCAACATCTACAAGCTGGAAGGTCAACATCTACAAGCTGGAAGCTCAACATCTACAAGCTGGAAGCTCAACATCTACAAGCTGGAAGCTCAACACCTACAAGCTGGAAGCTCTACGTCTACAAGCTGGAAGCTCAACACCTACAAGTGGGAAGCTCAACACCTACAAGCTGGAAGCTCTACGTCTACAAGCTGGAAGCTCAACACCTACAAGCTGGAAGGTCAACATCTACAAGCTGGAAGCTCAACACCTACAAGCTGGAAGCTCAACACCTACAAACTGGAAGCTCAACAACTACAAGCTGGAAGCTCAACACCTACAAGCTGGAAGCTCAACACCTACAAGCTGGAAGCTCTACGTCTACAAGCTGGAAGCTCAACACCTACAAGCTGGAAGCTCTACGTCTACAAGCTGGAAGCTCAACATCTACCAGCTGGAAGCTCTACGTCTACAAGCTGGAAGCTCAACACCTACAAGCTGGAAGCTCCACGTCATACAAGCTGGAAGCTCAACATCTACAAGCTGGAAGCTCAACATCTACAAGCTGGAAACTCAACACCTACAAGCTGGAAGCTCAACATCTACAAGCTGGAAACTCAACACCTACAAGCTGGAAGCTCTACATCTACAAGCTGGAAGCTCTACACCTACAAGCTGGAAGCTCAACATCTACAAGCTGGAAGCTCTACACCTACAAGCTGGAAGCTCTACGTCCTACGAGACAACCACGTGGTCGGAGACCCGAATGAGGGTCCGACCCTTCGTAGCAGTAACTCCTCTGCATAGAGTAGTTAGCTGGGTGGTCACCACCCTATGCGGTATCTTGTGTTACGTGTTACAAATAAATGTCTTGCCTCTAAAACGAACGTCTGCGACTCAGTTGGACTCACTACAGGTCTGTCACAAGGTAGGCATTGCTAAGGGGTTGACCGGTGGACACAGGGAGCGCCGTAGCAGCTCAAGGCGCTGTCTATAACATCGTTTTGAAAAGCGGTGACAACATTTGAGTGAGTTAGATGGCCAGGGGCAGTGAGCGTCAGGGCCGGGGAATTAATGACCGTGACAGAGGGCACGTGGGGAGTCACGAAAGGGCGATAGGGGAGGGGGAGAGGGAGTGGAGGGGCGAGGGGACGGGGGGACGGAGTGGAGGGGCGAGGGGAGGGGGGGAGTGGAGGGGCGAGGGGCGGGGCGAGGGGAGACCGCGTGGGGCTCTCACGCCCTGGCCCGTCACCGTGAGGCGCCTGCCATCCCATTGTCTGTCTGTGTCTGTGTGTGTCTGTCTGTGTGTGTGTCTGTGTGTGTGTGTCTGTGTGTGTCTGTGTGTCTGTGTGTGTGTCTGTCTGTGTGTGTCTGTCTGTGTGTGTGTCTGTGTGTGTGTGTCTGTCTGTGTATGTGTCTGTGTGTGTCTGTGTGTGTGTGTCTGTCTGTGTGTGTGTCTGTGTGTGTGTCTGTGTGTGTGTGTCTGTGTGTCTGTGTGGGTGGGGAGCGATAGTGTAGCGGTTAGCGCGCTGCGCTATGAACCTGGCGACCCGGGTTCGATTCCCGCTCACGGCCAACACCAGTGACGATTATGTGAACCGGTCCCGGGCCTCCCCTAGGTCGACTCAGCCTCAAATGAGTACCTGGTGCGGTGTGTAAACATCGCCACTAGGGAGACAAAGGCGGTCGGGCGTGGTGCTGGCCACCCACCCCCTCGTGTACCGTTCTGGCCTTCATAGGTGCTCGCTAACAGCACTTGCCCCTACAGTCTGTTACAGGCTATATGGGGGATCTTTGTCTTTGTCTTTGTGTGTGTGTGTGTGTTTCAGGAAAGGGCGGTCCTGCACAGATGCCATATTTTCTGTCCGTCTGCTACAGCAGAGGTGTAGGGAATTCCAACAAGACCTACATCTCTGCTTTATTGACCTGGTCAAGGCCTATGATACCATCAGTAGGCCTGGG